TGTGTGCATGCACACTTCGTCAGACGATGAAATGGAATTACATATCATAGCTGTAAAAGAAAGCTGGCTTGTTAAATAAGCAGAGGTCCATGAGTGGTTATTAGCCTCAAGGTATGAATGGAAGTCATGTATGGCTGCGAGAGTTGGACTATAAGGTAGGCCGAGCGCCGAAGGATAGATTCTTTTGAACTATGGTGCTGGAGAAGACTCTCGAGAGTCCCTTGGACTGCAAGGAGATCAAATCAGCCAATCCTAAAAGAAATCAACCCTGACTGTTCCCTGGAAGGCCAGATAATGAAACTGAAGCTCAAATACTTTGGCCACCCAATGAGAAGGGAGCCCTCACTGGAGAAGAAGACCCTGATGCTGGGAAAGATTGAAGGTCAAAGAAGACGGGGACGGCAAAGGATGAGATGGTTAGACAGTGTCATCGATGCAACGAACATGCGTCATCGGGACTCAAGCCAGATTACACAATGTGAGTCAAGACAATCGACGGACGGGGCACTCAACAAGCAGTGCACTGGGATTGCAGAAGTCTGGAGCCAACCAGAAATCTAAAAGACAGAACTGAACCACAACATCAGTGTGAACATGACACATTAAGCCGTGCAAAATTACATAGCAGGGTGGAAGCGACACACGGCCGTATAGACCACAGCCCCTAACTGTTTATCCAAGTAACTCTGTGGAACCGTCTTGTCCGGTGCAGCCCTGTTAGTAAAGGTAAGGGTTCCCTTGCTCGAAAGCCAGTCGAGTCCGACTCTAGGGTTGCGGTGCTCATCTCCGTTTCAAAGCTGAAGAGCCAGCGCTGTCCGAAGACGTTTCCGTGGTCATGTGGCCGGCATGACTGAACACCGAGGCGCACAGAACGCTGTTGCCTTCCCGCCGAAGTGGTACCTATTTATCTACTTGCAATCTCTTGCTTTCGAACTGCTAGGTTGGCAGGAGCTGGAACTAGAGACGGGAGCTCACTCCGTCATGCGGCCCACTCGGGTCTCGAACTGCTGAACGACCGACCTTCCACAGCCTGCAGTTCAGCGTCTTAGCCACTTGAGCCACCGCAGCCCTGTTACCTGCACAGAAAAGCCCTCCTGGATAATTCAGTGTTTCACAGTCGGTGTGGAAATCCAGGACTGTGAGAGCTTTCCTGACTTCAGGCGGGCCATTCCGTAAGGCGGGCGGGAGCCCCAAGGGGGAAAGTGAGTGCACAGGCAGTTGTCGATTTTGCCCCTTTGCAAGCCGCCTCCCGGACAGCCATTTCTTCACAGGAAAATGAACCATGGGTCAAAAAGGATGCTTATGTAAGCCCCGTAAATTTGCAACTGACTCACAGCAACCCCAGCACGGGGCTTTGCAGGCTAGTGAGAAGCAGAGGTGGCTGGCCATGGCCTTCCTCTGTGGAGACTTCCTTGGTCGCCTCCCTTCCCAGCGCGCCGACCCTGCTGAGCCTCTGAGATCTGGTGGGATCGGGCTATACCACACCTCCTGGCCTCCCAAAAGACTGCTTACCCCTGATTTTGGTGCTCCAGATTTCATATGCTGCTACAGTCACTGAGAAAAACACCCCAACGATGAACCTTGTGGCGAAACGGGGACCGCCCTCAGCCCTGGGAGACTGAGCAGTCGTTCCGTGGCTCGCAAGCCCCTGAATAGTAATAATAATAATAATAATAATAATAATAATAATAATAATAATAATAATAATAATAATAATAATAATAATAAACAACATATATTCATTTTTAATTGCACACGCCGTCACTGCCTGGTATAGACGTCTTCTGGCTTGGCTCCGTCGTTTTCCGCAGGGCTGCTTGTTGGCCAGGCTTCAGGACCCATATGTCAATCACCACACTGCCACCGCCTGGCCGGAACATCCATTGCAGGGATTCTTTCGTAGCCGAGAAGCTGTTTCACCTTCCAAGCCTCGACCAGGAAGTCCCGACCGTCAGCTAACACCCTCCCACAAGGGATATTGGCGTGCCCACTCTCTCTAAGGAGTGGTTCCTATTTTATCTACTCGCCGAAGCTTTCGAATCACTGGGTGGATGATGAGCTGGGGACAACAGGCTGGCTGCTCACACCAGCGCGGGGCTTGAACCAACACAGTTCAGATGTTAAGACAGTGGGATATACCCACTGTGCCTTCCCACCCTTTCCCGGTGGGGCTATTTCCCTTTGTCACATGCTGCCACCACTCGCTGGATTGACACCGCCTTCCTAGAGGGACAGCGAGATCCCCTCTGGCTGATTTCCCCACCCTTGGGAAGTTGGGACCACACTCTTTGGGTACCCCCTGGAGAGTTGCCAACCCATCCAATTTGGGCCCGTTTGGGTTTCCCTGGCCTCCCTTTTGCCCCTGGTAATGTGCTGAGCGGGGAGGACTAGGTGGTCAAGGCACACCAGGTCTTATTTAACTCAAGGAAGGTTTATTTTAACTACGTACAAGTTAAGCGCAGAAAATAAACACGAGCACATTAACACAACCTGGGCAGAAAATAAACACGATTTAAAACGCCATTCCTCTGTCCTCTACACACACCCCTCTCTGTCTCTGGAGGTGGTGGGAAAAAAAACCAGCCCTCCACCGGACTGGTCACTGGTACTGTTGCCCCCCCGGCTGTCCACCACGGTTTATAGTGGATGCCTTGGAGTTTGAGGCCACAGGAGCCCCCACCTGTCCGCTCCCTGGAAGCTGCCGCCCACGCCGAGTCCACAGGCTGAAGACCAGGCTGAAGACTGAACTCCCCCCCTCAGGAGCCAAAGCCTTTATCTCCCTGGCTCCGCCCCTGGGGTGTGTCCATATTTAAAAAAAAATCCCTACAGCTTCTGGGAACTGTAGGCAGGGAGGTATGGCAGCTCCATTGTTCCCTATGGAGTACCTCCCCCCTCCTAAGGACTACCAGGCTGGCACCCATTTCAACACACACTGCTGCCTCTGCCTGGCAGCCACTTCGTCACAAACCGCGCAGCAGAAAGAACAACAACAACAACACAAGAATAATTACAGGCAGGGGTCATTCCGTAGAAAAAGAGGTGCAGGAGCTCATTAGCATAACTCATTACATAACTCATTAGCATATGCCACACCCCCTGACATCTCTGGAAGTGTGTCATAAGGCAACACCCACCGCTCAGGCTCCACTGGACTGTTCTGGATTGCTAGCTATTGGGGGGGGGGGAGAACGTGCAGATCTGCCCTCACAGAGGAGGGAGAGCTTGTACCTGAAGGCAGGCCGGGGAGGGGGGAGGGCTCTGCAGCTTTCCTGGCTGCTTCTTGCTCTGACTGAGGGCTGCTGGGAGCAGGGGGTGGGGCTTGTTGCATGTGCCCGCCCCCCTTGGCTCCTTGCTGCCAGAGCTCCGCTCCTGTGCGCTCCCGCAGGAAATGATCCCAGATTACAGGTAGATCAGGGTAGATTTGCCTCCCCTGCCTGTCTTTGCCTGCACTGGTGACCAGACACGCTGTTTTGTTTTGTTTTGTTTTGTTTCAGAAGCAGCTCAGGAGGAGAGAAGACCATGCTCCTCAGATGGCAGGTAAAGTGAGACACATCCTTGGCTGACGAGGGAGAGCCAGTGTGGTGGAGGACTTAGGGCAGGGGCGTCGAACTCGTGAGGGCTGGACTTGACAGAAATGAGACCTTGTCGGCCGGGCCATGTGTGTCATAAAATGTAATGCCAGGTAGCAGAGAGATAAACAGTATAAAGGACACAAACACAAAGGGTTTTATTTTACTTAAAATAAAATCATGCTTTATTTCACGGTGTCTGATAACTGACACCTCTTGCTCTGAATGTCTGTGCTGCTGCAATCCTGAGTGTGCTGTTCAGGTGTGTATCTGTAAGCTGCAAACCTACGATGATGCAGCAGCAGCAGCAGAACTGGAAGAAGAAGCAGGAGACGGCCAGTTCCCCTGCGGCCCTGACAGAAGTCCTCCGGGGGCCTGATCCGGCCCCCAGGTCGCATGTTTGACACCCCTGGCTTAGAGTGTCGGACTAGGTTCTGGGAGACCCAGGTTCAAATCCCCAGTGGAGGCCTGCTGGGTGACCTTGTGCCAGTCACCCTCTCCTCCCCAGATTCTTACGGCCTCCTTCTCACTGATGTGATTCCCCCGCCCCCGAGAACAGATGATGAGAACATCCATATACACCTGCTGACATTCAAACTCGCTGTGGTGAAATTGTTAGTTCGCACTTGATTTGCGCCTCTCACCAGTATCGTGTGCCCTGCCGAGTGGGTCTGTGCCTGTGCAGTAGCCACGTGTACAGGTTTTCCTGTGTCAGTTGCTCCGTATGCGTGAGGACGTGAAGGCAGTCGGTTAGAGAAGCTCTTTGTCATGGTGCAGGGCAAAAGTTACATGAGAGGAAACAACCAATGTTCCCCACCACCACCAGTGTTCCCTCTAAGCTGAGTTAGTGTGAGCTAGCTCACAGTTTTTGAGCCTCTGGCTCACACATTCCTGTCTCCGCTCAGGAAAGATGGGGCTCCAGAGCAAACTAATTGATGCAGTGGCCAAATTGCTGCTTGCAGCTTTAATGCCAGGAGCTCACAAAGTAGAATTTTTGCTCACAAGACTCCACAGCTTAGAGGGAACATTGCCCCCCACCCCCAAAATAACTGCAGCTCCTGTAAAAAAAACAAAAACTGTGAATGAGCATGTGCAAATTTCTTAAGAATCCGCCCGCCTTTCCTGTTAACAACCACTGGGTCCTGCAGGCACAAATACATTTTATTGATTGATTGGTTTTATTGACTTTTATCCTGCCCTTCCGGCCTAGGCTGGCTCAGGGCGTCTTACAACAAAATAAAAGTTCTCATAATACATAAAACATGATTCATTACACTAATACAATTCCTGATAAATAATAATACAATAATATAAAAACAGTGTTAAAATCAGGCTTGCTGAAGCATTTCTGTGGGGAATGGCTCTGCACTAAAGTGATCTTTTATTTCCCTCGCACGGCAGAGGAGGGAGGTCAGCAACTTTGAGTACCTCATGTACCTGAACACTCTGGCCGGGCGTTCCTACAGTGATCTCATGCAGTACCCCGTCTTCCCCTGGATCCTAGCTGACTATCATTCCCAGGTGAGATATTTCTGTCCAGCCACCCGCACTGTTCCAGGCAGGTGGCCAACCACACTTATGGAGATGTGTTCTTCGTCATGGCGGTCAGTGCCTGACTTTCCGTATGAACAAGACCATAAGAACATAAGAGAAGCCAATGTTGGATCAGGGCAAAGGCCCATCCAGTCCAACACTCCTGTGTCACACAGTGGCCAAAAAACACCAGGTGCCATCAGGAGGTCCTGCAGTGGGGCCGGGAAACTAGAAGCCCTCCCACTGTTGCCCCCCCCCCAAGCACCAAGGACATAGAGCATCACTTGTCCCAGACTGAGAGTTCCTACCTATACCTTGTGGCTAATAGCCACTGATGGACCCCTGCTCCATAGGTTTATCCATAAGAACATAAGAGAAGCCAATGTTGGATCAGGCCAAAGGCCCATCCAGTCCAACACTGTGTCACACAGGGGCCAGAAATACCAGGTGCCATCAGGAGGTCCAGCAGTGGGGCCAGGGCACTAGAAGCCCTCCCACTGTTGCCCCCCCACCCCAAGCACCAAGAAGACAGAGCATCACTTGCCCCAGAGTCCCTATCTATACCTTGTGGCTCATAGCCACTGATGGACCTCTGCTCCATATGCTTATCCAATTCCATCTTGAAGCTGTCCATGCTTGTAGCCGCCACTACTTCCTGTGGCAGTGAATTCCATGTGTGAAACACTCTTTGGGTGAAGAAGTACTTCCTTTTATCCGTTGTAACCTGACCGCTCAGCAATTTCATGGAGTGCCCACGAGTTCTTGTATTGTGAGGAAGGGAGAAAAGTGTACTTCTTTCTCTACCTGCTCTATCCCATGCATCATCTTATAAACCTCAATCGTGTACTTGTCTTACAGACTTTGGACCTGACCGACCCCAGTGTCTTCCGTGACCTGTCGAAGCCCATGGGGGCTCAGACAGCCAAGAGAAAAGAGAAGTTTATCCAGCGTTATAAAGACGTAGAGAAGACTGAAGGTATGTTAAGTTTCCCCTGAGAGCTGTATGTTCAGAAGGCTTTAGGAGCTGGAGGAGACTGGGGCAGGTAGACAGGTAGGTACGTAGAGAACTTTTTTTTTTCATTTTGAAATGAACACAGTTAAATGTGATGTGATGTATGTGACTGAAAAAAAATTCCTCTCTGGGCATTGAATCATCCAGAAGCTACAAATTCTGACCTGCCTCTTAAGTTTTGTCCATGCTGGGCCATAATGACATCGTTTGAGCTTGAGAGTCTTATTTCCATCTGTGGGCAAATGGTTTCAACCCACATGTGAGCAACAAAGCTAATCAGACTTCCTGGGCCCCCAACCCAGCTGGGCCACCACCTCCTATATGGAAGCCTGAACACCAGGTCGTGACGTTATCAAAGGTAGTCCTACAGTCCCTGAACTCTGCAGTTGCCAGCTACTGTCACAAGTGTTTTAACTTGCAGTTTCTCATGTACTCAACAAGATATTTTCTTGATTCCAGATTCTTCACACTAGCTTACAGTGTTACTGAGTTCAGTTTCCCTTGCATATTTGAGTGTATGTTTCATATAATTTACAAGCATATAATAGGGGAAAGTGGTGGATGTCTGTTGTATGATGGTATTGTCAAATAATAGTAAGAGTTTAATAACTTTTGATTTTCAGTATTACTTTTTATTTACCATTGACACAGCATGAGATATTAATATGCACAAACTCATACTTAGGTAAGAAGTTTTCGCATACAGTAAACTTCAATTATAATCTCCAGTTACAAAAAAACCCAGCTACACTGGATATTGGTGTACAAAGTTCATTGTGAGTACATTCACAAACGTTCAAGGGAACCAACAAATGTAATAGAAAGAGAGTACAACATTCAATCTTCCTAAGGAACTTCTTTTGAGTAAATTAGTAAATGAGAGGAAAATATAGAAACTTCACATTGTGGCCTTCAATGAATCTAAATCTCACCAGTTGTCATTTCAACTCACGTTGTTGCAGTTCAGGGGCAAATTAATGTGGAAGGCACCTACATCACTTCTGCAAAGTTTTCAATTGCCTGTGATGTTTGTGACAGACAGTTCAGAGGGGACTCCGCTTCCCCCCACCGACTACTCCCCCCCCATCCCGCTCCGGTCAGATTAACTTTTTCAGAGCCTCCCCCTCCCTCCAATCTCTCGGTATTCCATTCCAAAACGAGGGAGGGTGTCAGCATGCTGCCATTCTGTTTTCTGTGACCTCTGTGTACATATCCTTTCCCTGTTACACCCGGCTTGGTTTCTATCATCCTGCTCCTGCTTTGGAATGCTTAAGATAACTGCTGGAGGTTGTGTGGGGGAGAAGATGCTGTAATGCTTGCCTATTGATTTTCCCATGAGTACTGCACCT